ACTGCCCTGGGCAACCCCTTCCAATGCCTCAGAACCCTTGCAGCAAAGAAATTCTTCCTCACATCCCATCTCACATCCCATCTCAACTGCCCTTGGGGCAACTGGAGCCCATTTCCTCTTGTCCTCTCACTTGGTCCTTGGTTGAACAGACCCACCCCCACCTCTCTCCACCCTCCTCCAAGGGACTTGGACAGAGCCACAAGGTCTCCCCTCAGCCTCCTTTTCTCCAGGGAGCCACTGGATGTGAAATCAGTGCTGGTCTCACCCAGTTGCTCCTGTGGTCTCTCCCTTCACAAACTGGCTTAACTGGGACAGAAAATTACCCCCCAAAACCCCTCTGACATTGCAAATGCAGCTCGAGCACCGTCACTCTGGGCAGGGACGTGGGAACAGCCCAGCCCAGACATGGGGATGAAGATGGTGAATGTGGTAGCATTGGGTGGCTCCAAGATGCCCCTTAGAGCTGTAGAAGAGCTGGGGGATGAGTTTAGGTCCCTGCCCCGTGTCTCCTCAGGTGTGTAGGGATGCTTCAGAGTCCCACAAGGGATTTGGCAATGAGGAGGTGGGTGAAACTCCTCCAGGTCCCTGCTGACTCCTTTCTCCATCAGAGCTGTACAGCTACACTGAGGAACCTGAGCTCAACACCAACAGGAGATGCTTCGAGGAGGATTTTCATACTCAAGGTACCAGCTCTGGGCTCAGCACCCCAAGGATTGGGGCAGCCTCCCTGGGCAAGAGCAGGACATCTGGGGAGGCACCCGGCTGGTTGTTATGTCCCCTTTCCAGTGCAGGGCAGGAGGTGGCTGGAGCTGGATGGAGCTCAGCAGAAGGCCTATGTCATGCACTTGCTAGATGGGCTGGAGGTGGTCAACAGAGACAAGCGGCTCAAAGTAGCACGGGCCATCCTCTACCTGGCACAAGGTAAGGACCACGTCCCCCATGTCAGGATGTGGCCGCGTATCCACTGCCTGGCTTCGGCATGGGGGGGTCAGGAGAAGCTTTCTCTGGGGGTTGTGTCAGGTTGGTGCAGTGAAGCTTCTTCTTGGGATGGTCCCATGTGCTCCAGGGGTTCAAAGGCAGCTGCCCCCTAACCAGTGCCTCCCTTTGGGCCTCTCCAGGTGTCTTTGGAGACTGTGATAATGAAGGCGATGTCCTGCACTGGTCTCGTCACAACAGCTTCCTCCTGTACCGGCTGGGAACCTTCACCGCCTTCCTGGAGCTCCTCAACATGGAGATTGAGTGAGAGGACCTGCACTGTCCTCACCTTTCCTCACCCTCCTTGTCCTCTTCTTCATCTTATTCTTTCTCCTTGCCCTCCTCACCCTTCCCTTTTTCACCTTCTTTCTTGCCATCCTCCTCACTCTCCTTTTCCTCATCTTCCTTCTCCTTCTCCTCCTTGCCCTCTTCTTCCATCCTCCTCTCCCTTCTCCTCTTCATCTTCTTTCTCTTGCCCTCTTCTTCATCTTCTTGCTGCTCTCTTCACCCTCTTATTCCATTCTCCTCGCCCTCCTCTTCATCTTCCTTCTCCCCATCCTCCTTGCCCTCCTCCTCCTCATCTTCTTTCTCTCCCTCCTCCTTGCCCTCTTCTTCCATCCTTCTTGCCCTCTTCTACATCTTCTTTCTCACCATGCTCCTTGCCCTCTTATTCCATCCTCCGCACCCTTCTCCTCTTCATCTTCTTTCTCTCCATCCTTCTTGCCCTGTTCTTCTACATCTTCTTTCTTGCCGTCCTTCTCCCCCTCTTATTCCATCCTCCTAGCCCTCCTCTTCATCTTCCTTCTCCCTGTCCTCCTCGCCCTCCTCTTCTACATCACCTTTCTCACCATCCTCCTTGCCCTCTTATTCCATTCTCCTCACCCTCCTCCTCCTCATCTTCTTGCTCTCCATCCTCCTCGCTCTCTTCTTCCATCCTTCTTGTCCTTCTCTTCATCTTCTTTCTCCCATCCTCCTTGCCCTCTTCTTTCTCCTTCCTCCTCCTCCTCCTCCTCAGTTTCCACCACTGCAGATATAGGCTGGGGGTCGAGGTGAGGAGCAGCCCATGTCCCATGGCTGGTGCTGAGCTCGTCCCCTTCCCCACAGCAACAGCCAGGCCTGCAGCAGCGCCCTGAGGAAGCCGGCCATCTCGCTGGCCGACAGCACAGAGCTCAGGTACCCACTCTCAGCTCCTCACTAGCATGTTGGGTGGAGGCTGTGGGACAGCCTCTGGGGTCAAAGTGGCCTCTGGATTGCAGTGTCACCTGCCTGGCATGCTGTTCTGACAGGGTACTGCTCAGTGTCATGTACCTGATGGTGGAGAACATCCGTGTGGAGCAGGAGGCAGATCCCCCCGAGTGGAAAACCTGCCGGGAGACCTTCAGGATGGAGCTGAGTGAGCCACAAACTTCATTGTGCCCTAATGAGGTTCCTTCATCATGCTGGACCAGCAGAGAGACCTGTGGGAGGTGGGGATCTGCTCTGAACCTGCTCCTGATCCCTCTCTCCACCAGGTTTCCCTGTGCACACTGAGGAGCCATTTGCTCTTCTGCTCTTCACGATGGTGACCAAGTTCTGCAGTGGCCACGCTCCACACTTCCCCATGAAGAAGGTTGTGCTCCTGCTCTGGAAGGTGCTTCTGGTGGGTGCAAACCCTTCCTTTTCCCAGAAAGCAGTCATTTTGGGAATAGTGCTGATGCAGCCTGGATGTTCCACGCTATTCAGTCCAACCATAACAAGGTTTTTTAGGTTGGCACAGGAAGCTGACACAAGGCAAACAGGTTTCTTCTGGGACGAGGGTGGGCTGAGCCATGCAGAGGACATGGGGTGGGGGAGAAGTCTGGAGAATGAACCAGTGACTTGGTGTTTTCCTCTGCAACTCTCCAGTTTGATGGCCTCAGACTGCTGCTCCCCTGGAAGCCCAGAAGAGCCATGCCATCCAGGTGAGATGTCTGCTCCATGCTTTCTCACCTCTCTTGTTGGTCCCTAGTTCACGCTGGGTGGATTTGAAGCCCTACAGGAGATGAAAGTGAAGAAGAGGGAGGAGCTGGGGCTGCCACCCTTGCCGGAGGACAGCATCCAGGTGATGCGCAGCATGCGCGCTGCTTCGCCTCCCACCTTCTCCATCGAGCTCATGGAGCAGCAGCAGCAGAAGCGTGGTCACCGCAGCCGGAGGGTAAGAGTGGGCATGTCCTCCTGGTGCACAGCCCAGGATGCTTTTCCAATAGGGACAGTCACCTGTTCAGGGATCCAGTCTGTGCTCGGGGGTGTGTTTCCCTTTCCCCTCAAGTGCTCCTGTGTTTTCCAGTTTCACAGAATCACAGAATGGTTTGGGTTGGAAGGGACCTTTCAAGGTCATCTAGTCCAACTCCCCTGCAGTGAGCAGGGACATCTTCAACCAGATCAGGTTGTTCAGAGCCTCATCCAACCTGGCCTTGAATGTTTCCAGGGATGGGGCTTCTACCACCTCTCTGGGCAACCTGGGACAGTGTCTTACCATGCTTAGCATAAAAAATTTCTTCCTGACATCTAGTCTGAATCTTCCCTCTTCTAGTTTAAAACCATCACCCCTTGTCCTGTTGCTACAGGCCTTGGTAAAATGTCCCTCTCCATCTTTCTTATTGGCCCCCTTTATATATTGAAAGGCTACAAGAAGGTGTCCCTGGAGCCTTCTCTTCTCCAGGCTGAACAGCCCCAACTCTCTCAGCCTGTCCTCACAGCAGAGCTGCTCCAGCCCTCGCATCATCCTGGTGGCCTCCTCTGGACTGGCTCCAGTAGCTCCATGTCCTTGTGCTGTTGGTGGCCCCAGCACTGGAGGCAGCACTGCAGGTGGGGTCTGAGGAGAGCGGAGCAGAGGGGCAGAATCCCCTCCCTCCACCTGCTGCCCACGCTGCTCTGGGTGCAGCCCAGGACACGGTTATTGGCCTCTGTGCTGCCAGCGCACGTTGCTGCCTCATGTTCAGCTTCTCATCCACCAGTTTCAGTTGTGGCAGATCAGCCCCATGATGTGTTTGAGCTGGAGGAAGCGAGAGGACATCCTGACCCTATGGCAAAGGGCTGATAAGGACCAAGGAGCAAAGTGCTCACAGCAAGCTGGTCTTTTTTTTAGCTCCACTCTTGGAGTTGCTGTGTTATGGTCTGAGGATGAAAGCGCCTCTTTTGCTAGGCAAGAGATGTCAGATGTTAGCTCCAAAAGTTAAGGTGGAAAACAGGGTCACACCTCCTAGATCAGCAAGGTTAGATGTACAGAGAGGGTTATTCCATGACCAGGCTTTGTTGGCCACAGCTAGGTGGGAAATCCTCACCTGAGGAACATTTGGGAGCTTGATCCTTCCAGGATGGAGAGGTTTAGTGCAAGCAGCTGGGAGAGAAATAAAATCCACAGAGTGACTTGAATTTCTCCTTTCCCTTCTGCTGCAGCCCCTGATGAAACAAGACAGTTTGGACATCTACAACGAGAGAGACCCCTTCAAGAATGACGAAGCAGGAGTTGATGAAGAGGAGAACGATGATGTGGACAGTGGGATCGAGGGGGAACTGGACCTGATGGAGCGGGATGCAATTATCCCCACGATGCCTGCTCAGCGCCCACCTATCGAAAGGGTGTCGTTCCCTAAAGGGCTCCCCTGGGCCCCCAAAGTCAGGTAAAACCATCTGGTGTCATTGCCACCCTCCCCAGTCCTACCTGTTCTGGAGTTCACTGTAGGCTGAACATCAGGCTGTGACAAGTTTGTTGGCCTCTGGCAAGTTGAACTGAAGTGACTCCGCTTCTTTTGTCTCAGTTGGTCCTTTCTGGACTAGATTTAGCTGAGCTCTTCTCCAGGCTTTTCAAACCAAGCATGGCCAAGCTTGGCCAATAAGTGGCAATCCCATTTTGGATATCCCAGGTTGTACTGGGAAGGAGACTTGTGCTGGAGTGCTGTGGGAGCAGGGTCAGCTTTCCCAATGGGCACCAATGGATCTTGGTAGGGCAAGGTCCTGGACTAATCATCTTGGGAACTGGTTAATGACATTGCCTCTAGCTTGTTGAGTGGGACTCTCATGTTGCCAGATGAAGCTTTTTTGAGTGGCCTTGCTCTAAGGTGAAAGATTGGAGAAAAACATCTGAGGATAAAGAAGTTGGTACCTAAAGACCAGTTCTGCTACAGATGACATGGGGGAGCGTGGAGAAAAGAGGGTGAAAACCTCTGTGCTGTTCCTTCTAATCCATGTGAGGGTTTTGCTGTTGATCCCAAGCCTGGATTTAATCCAGTATCTTTAAAACACAGGAGCAGTGACAGGGTTAAGTGTGTCTGTCCCACAAATCCTCACAGGAACACAGCAAGAACTGGTTTCCCATGTGGGTTGGTGCACACGTGGTGCCGTGGTACTCCACAGCACTTAATGCTCTCAGCTTCAAAATCAAATGACCGTTGGTTTTTTCTTGGCTGGTGCCTGGAAATCCAGCTGGGTTTCTTTCTGCCCGTGAGAACCTTGGCTCATGGTTCATGTCCTACTTGTAATGCTGAGACCCTGACCAGTTCTCATGAAAGATGTCCAAGGTGGACAAGATGTCAGTTTGCTCTCTTGGAGCAGCACATGCTCTGCCAGATTGTGGAGACAACATTTGTTCGCTCAAAGCAAGCAGATGCTACTTGAAGATGCACATGGTAGGAGCACAGAAGGTGGATGAAGAGGTGCTGGTTGTAGAGAACTCCTCTCCATTTATTTATTCCAGTACCTGAAGGGGCTACAAGAAAGCTGGGGAGGGACTTTTCATAAGGGCAGTTAATGACAAAACAAGGGGAAATGGGTTTAAGCTGAAAGAGGGGAGGTTTAGATGAGATATTAGGAAGAAGTTCTTCACTGTGAGGGTGGTCAGACACTGGAACAGGTTGCCCAAGGAAGTTGTGGCTGCTCCTCCCTGGAAGTGTTGAAGGCCAGGCTGGATGAGGCTTTGAGCAACCTGGTCTAGTGGAAGGTGTCCCTGCTGATGGCAGGGGGGGTTGGAACTGGATGATCTTTAAGGTCCCTTCCAACCCAACCCAGTCTGTGATTCTATGATTCTATTTGCACACTCCAATATTGTTGCACACCAAATACAAGTGGTTTTGGTTCACGTTGCTCCCAATGAACGAGAGCAATGGTGGCTCTAACCCAGTGCTTGTAAGACCTCTAGAAATCAAAGCTAGAAAGCTCAAACGTTCTTGGTGGTCCCACGCTGCTGTCCTTTCTGAACAATGTAGGCTGTGATCTGGTATCTGTCTATTTTCCAACCTTCTCCTTGTTTTTGTTTCTTTGCTGCTCCATCAGACAGAAAGACATCGAGCATTTTCTGGAAGCAAGCAGGAACAAATTCATCGGGTTCACGCTGGGACAGTGAGTGTTATGTCTGTAGGTCCAACAAAGTCTGTCCTGTAGCTCCCATCAGTGCAGTTTAACTGGTGAGAGGTGTCCACAGACCTCAGGTTTTCTCAACTCCACCTTTCTCAAGCTCTTGATGGTGTGGTGCAGCGCTGGATTTTGCTGGGGCTGCAGCAATGCACTTGGTGTTATCAAAATATGTTCTTGGAGATACTGGTCTCCAAGGACCTCTTTCTATTAAAAATCAGACCTAGCCTGGAATAAGTGACCCCTGGCCCAAACCAAACTGTGGGTGCAGAGTCATCTGGCACAGGCCCAGCAGGGTATATTGTTTTTTAGGTGTGGTGCAGAGACCTGATTCCACCCCAATTCTTCACCCTGATGTTACTCCTCTCTTGTGCTGGGGAGGAGGTGGGAGGGTGGGCAGCTCATATCAACACCTCTCCCAATTCCTGACCCATCTGAGATGTGTTCAGTAGACTACCAGCTCCCTCTTTTACCTTGTATGACATGGAAGTGTTTGAACACAGATCTCCTTTCCAACCTCATATTTACTTTCTTTCTTCCTCCACAGAGACACTGAAACTCTGATAGGGCTACCACGGCCGATCCATGAAAGCGTGAAGACACTGAAGCAGGTGAGATGGTGGCTCTGTGTGTGGTGATGGGGTGAAGCAGCCCAGAAAGCCTTTCTGAGCAGTAATCAGCTTGTCTAACCTCATCCCTTGCTATTTTTGCTCCCTGGCCCTTAGCAGATGCTCTGAGGTGGGATCAGATCTGTGGGGATCTCATAGAAGTGGGGAAATCATTGTCCAAGATCATTAAGGCCATAGGGGGATTGCAGGGCACCAAGTCCCACACACATAAACTTTGTGATACAGCATTATAATGAGTTTTAGGTTCCTCAGATGTATCCTCTCAGCCTGCAGTAGATGTTTCACCTGAATTTAAGTCTTCTGCTCCTCTTCAGCTGATGTACAGCAACATGTTTGGTCTGAGCTCTTTTCTCTGCCCTGGGAGGTCAATCTGATGGATCCAGTCAGGGTCTGAACAGCTTGAGAGGGGCTGGATGTAGTGTGGGATCCTCACATCTAACTTGTGTTACTGGAGGGGGTAAGAGGGCTCCTTGTTAGTTGTCACAGGAAAAGCTTCTGGAGATTCTTGCAGGAATTGGGGTGAAAAATGGAAACCTGAGTCCTCACTGCAATTCCAAGTAGGTTGTCCAGCACTTGGTCTTTCCCTTTATCTGAGGTGTAACATTGCTGTGTCCTGGCGAGCATTTTCCATGTTGTCCTTTGAAAGTGACAGACTTCCAGAGTTGGGTTTGGACATGCCTGCCTAGACCTGTGCTATTCCTAGTGGGAAGCATGGCCAGCCTCAGCTCCTGCAGTGCTCCACATGGAGTGAGACACCTTCAGAGTCCAACTGACCCTATGTAGGGTCTAGGTTGCCTTTTGGAGGCAATTGTCCCTCTCCATTTACTTACAGAGAGATCCTAGAAGGAGTAAGTGGAAATAATCAAAGACATGTTGTGTGTGGGACTTCAGGGACAGAGGGATGTCCCACACAAAGATGAGTTCTTCATGTATCTGCTGTGACCTATACACCTAACTGGGATATTACTGAACTCAGCAAATATTGTCATCACTGACTGTGTTTCATCCCTCAGTTGTGATATTGCTCTGCCTCTGTGTATTTTGCCAGCACAAGTACGTTTCCATCTCAGACATCCAGATCAAGAATGAGGAGGAGCTGGAGAAGTGCCCCATGTCTCTGGTAAGATGTGGCTGCTCCCCATCACTAGATAGATGTGTGGAGGATTTCCAAGGTGTTGTAGAAATCCATATGTTCTCCATGATCCTTAGGAGACACCTTGGATGGTGTTTTTTCTAGAAGTTCATATCTTGATTAAACATAGCAGCGGAGAAAGGTCTGGAGCTTCCTGCAGTCAGGATGCAGCTATGTCCATCATTAAGTCCTCAAGCTGGGCTTTATGGAGGTGACTGATAGATCTCAAGTGTGTGGACTGAAAATAATTTTCCCTTGTTTCTAATGTTTCTCTGTGCTAGGGGGAAGAGGAAGTCCAAGAAACCCCTTGTGAGATCTTGTATCGAGCAATGTTATACAATCTCCCCCAGTATATGGTAAGTATATATCGAGCTTTTGAGTGGGGAATGGTGCCAATCTGTGAGCTGCAGAGCTCACCATGGGGCTTCTGGGGCATATTCAGGACTTGAAGGGTGAGATTTTGGTGGGAATCCAGAGCAGAGTTGGGTGGAATGTACAATCCAAGAGGAGGGATTCAGAGGATCAGGGGGTGTAGACACACAGGGACGTGGTCAAATGGTTAGAGACAGGTCAGTGGTTGGAAAACAGGATCTGTGAGGAGGTTTGGGAACAAGGAACAAAGTCCTCCACATTGCTGGGAGCTTAAAACTGGCTCCTGCCCTCTGGACACTTGAGAGGAAGTGTTGGGGATGGCCAACTTGAGTTGCATGAGCTATAGTGTTTACCAACAAGTTGTTGCACACTGATGCAGACACCTTCACTTCTGACCTCAAGAAGCAACCTACAAACTTGAGTGGTCCCTTGAGCCTTTGTCCAACTTGCTGAGATTAACTTTCAGTTATGATATTGTGCTGATCTCTGAGCGTGATGGTTTGCTGGGCCAGGAACCACACAAAACCATCATCGTGCTTTACGTGGCTCAGCAAACAAGGTGGTAACACCTTCAGGTCTCTGCCAACCTGGCTGTGCTCTCAACAGCTATTCAAACTGTGGAGAGTCTGTAGGTTATGAACTTCCTTACAGGGACCCCCCTTCCAGCCTTCCCATGGCCCCAAGATGTTCCCAGAGGAGTATAATATATGTCCTGAAATTCAGCTAAGTAGACAGGCTGGATGAGCAACCTGGTCTAGTGGAAGGTGTCCCTGCTGCTGGCAGGGGGGTTGGGACTGGATGAGCTTTCAGGTCCCTTCCAACCCAAACCAGTCTGGGATTCTATGGGTAAAGGAGAATGTTGTACCCTCCTGTTTGAAAGGTAGAGCCTTGGCATAGTCAGTCCATCATGGTGAGCAGAGCTTGGGCTGGTGAAACCCTATAGAGTTGGTTTGAAGTTGTCCAGTTCCAGCAAGTGAAAGAGAAGGAAGGAATACACCTTCTTGAGAGCATCCCTTCCTGCCTGTCCTCCCCTGCAGATAGCTTTGCTGAAGATCCTCCTTGCTGCAGCACCCACCTCTAAAGCCAAGACTGACTCCATCAACATCCTGGCAGACGTGTTGCCTGAAGAGATGCCGTAAGTCCTTGAGGAGGTGGCCACCAGCCATCCTAGCTTTGCCACAAAGTCTTGGACCATGCAGGAGAGTCGGAGTTTGCCCATAAGGTTCAGGAAGCTCCAGATTTCGGGATGTCTCTTTGGATAGGTGCAAACTACTGTTGCTGCCAGGGCAGAGGGTTGAAAGCCAAGGATGTGAGTGCCAGTTTTTCAGGAGCGTAACAATTGGAGCGCAGTCGGCAGCCGCTGTGCTCTGCTGGCTGAGTGACACAAATCATAAAATCACGCTAATTGACATAAATCATAAAGATACGTGAGCATATGGTAGGTGTCCTTCACACCACCTTCCCAGGACTGCTGGCAGAGGGCACTCAGCTTTATTTTTTCCCCCCCTTTTTAATGTATTTTAGTGTCACCAGCCAGGAGGGGATGTAAATGGGAGTCCCAGAGGGAAGCAAAGGTCTCTGTTTCTGTAGACCTTCTCCAGATGAATAAGAACTCAACAGTCCCTCAGTCCTCCTTGTTCCCACACCCACTGTGCTGTCACCTTCTTTCCCTCCAACCCAGCATCACCGTTCTTCAAAGCATGAAACTGGGGATTGATGTGAACAGACACAAAGAGATCATTGTGAAGAGCATCTCGGCTTTGCTGCTGCTGCTCCTCAAGCACTTTAAGCTGAATCACATCTACCAGGTGAGCTTAAGAGAAGGGATCAGCCACTGCCAAACTGGTCTGGAAGCCTATGTGTCCTGATAGAACCTCTCCTGAAAGATCTCTCCAGGAATGGTTTCCATGAGGAGCTGCAGATTGCTTTTCCATAGCAGGGAACCCTAGCAGCGGGCCAGGATTTGTATAGGGTTACTGGGGCAGGGATAACCTGCCTGCAATATATCTCTGACTGTGGTCTGACAGGATCGTTTCCACTCACGTGGAAAGAGTTTTCAGATTTCTGGAAAAAAAAAATCCTGCTGTGGCTGATCAGGTTAAAATTTAGGAGATATCACAAGCATGAGACTTCCCTGGCAGAAGGGGGAAGGGGATGGGAGTTATACAAGACCCCTTTTTTTGCTCTGTTTCATCTCTAGTGACCAGAAATAGTGCTGGGTAGGACCTCACGAGGTCAACTAATCCAGTCCTCTGTCCCTCAGCAGGATCAAGTTCTTGGGGCTCCAGTTTCAACAGAGCCTGGAGGTCTGGGTCCTAGATGCAATCTGATTTTGGTTTCATCTGCATGACACCAATTGAACTGGACCTGGATGAAGGTTTTCCTTGATTAAAAAAAAGACCAAAGTTCTTCTTAAAAAAGAACTGGCCTGAGCCCAGTTCTCCACCCATTCTGCAAGTCAAACAATTAGTGTTTTCTAATTTATTGTTTTTCTCTTAACGGGTTTGACATGGTACAAACCCATCTGTATTATGAAGCCCACTGATATTTATCTGAGGATAAATACAAATCCATGGATTGGATTGGATAAAATGAAACAAAACCTCACATTTTTACAATCCTACATTTGTTCTGGGTTCCTCCACATCCATTCAATAATTTTTCTTGCTTCACTCCCAAAATGTCCCTTCTCATGTCTTCCTCCGTGGCAGGAGGATCCTTGCAGTCTGGTACTGAGCCTGGAGAAAGCTGTGGGGTTTCCTCCCACTGATTTCTACTTTTGGGTCTGATTTTGGGTGAGCCATCATCATTTCTTTTGGTGCCAAAGCTGGTCTCAAGGACCATCTCAGAAACTGCTGTGGGTGCTGAGCTGATGTTTCCAGCATTGTTGGAGGCAGCATAGGGTAGCAGAGAGCGTGACTGGTCCAGGTTCTGCTGGAGGTCACCCTGTGCTTGCCAGCTGCCACATCGGTGAGGCAGCAACTGCACAGACCGGCACACCAACATAGATCATGGGGTTTTGGTGTCAGTTCTGTCCAGATTTGGTGTTTCTTATGCCAACAGAGAAACGCCATCAAATTATTGCAGAGATTTGTTGTATTATGCAGCTCTACTTGCCCAGATCATTTAATGTTTAAAGGGGGAGAGAAATTAAAAGCTGGTAGGAAGGTAAGGGGACATTTTTCAGTCCAAATGTGAAAAGGGACTGGGGTTGGTATGTGACAGGAATAGGAATTAGTGGCTGGAGAGCTGCCCAGCAGAAAAGAACCTGGGGGTGTTGGTTGACAGCCAGCTGAACATGAGCCAGCAGAGTGGCCAGGTGGCCAAGAAGGCCAAGGGCATCCTGGCCTGGATCAGCACCAGTGTGGCCAGTAGGAGCAGGGCAGTGCTGGTCCCCCTGCACTGGGAATCACTGGTGAGGCTGCAACTGGAGTGCTGGGTTCATTGTTGGGCCCCTGAGTCCAAGAAGGACATGGAGGTGCTGGAGCGTGTCCAGAGAAGGGCAACGGAGCTGGGGAAGGGTCTGGAGCACAAGTGTGCTGAGTTCCCTTGTGGCTGAGGGAACTGGGGGTGTTGAGCCTGGAGAGAAGGAGGCTGAGGGGAGACCTTCTGGCTCTGTCCAAGTCCCTGCAAGGAGGGTGGGGAGAAGTGGGTCTTGGTCTCTTCTCCCAAGTAATTAAGCAACAGAACAAGAGGAAACGGCCTCAAGATGTGCCAGGGTTTAGACTGGATATTAGGAGAAATTACTGAAAGGGTTCTCAGGCACTGGAACAGGCTGTCCAGGAAAGTGGTCGAGTCACGATCCCTGAAGGTATTTAAAAGACAAGTAGTTGTGGTGCTTAGGCACATGGGTTAGTGGGCATGATGGTGTTGGGTTGACGGTTGGACTTGCTGATCTTCAAGGTCTTTTCCAACCTTAATGATTCTGTGATTCTATGAATTATTGTATTTTCTCATGTAATAGCTACATCTCCTCCTTGCCTCTTCCCCATATAGTGTTTTGGCACAGGTTTTTACTTTGAGAAGCTCCACTGCACTCATTAGGTGCAACTGTTCCTAAACTTCTGCCATAAAGGTTGTGTGTCCACTTTATGGCAAGTAAAGTTTTCCAGCTGGTGGGAGTCACTGTATATGGTGCAAGCCTTATACAGCAGACTTCTCCAAGGGAAAGATGGTCTGCAAGGTGTCTAGAGCAAACCATCAAGACTGCTTTGCTTTTGGCTGGAAATGGGTTTCCATTCCTAGGTGAAGCTCTCAGTTAACGTTGATCCATTTCACTTCTCTTCCTCAGTTTGAGTACGTGTCCCAACATTTGGTGTTTGCCAACTGCATCCCGCTGATCCTGAAGTTCTTCAACCAAAACATCATGTCATATATCACTGCCAAAAACAGGTACAGACACTTCTGGGGAAGAGAGAGATAGATGATGGAGCAGGGAGGCTTTGTGCATGAGGAACCCTAATATGTGATGGGACTAAGTGACTTCTGGTCCTTCACATGGCTTTGGGGCAGTATGTTCTCCACTGTAGGGATACCCTGGAGGGGAGCAAATCCCTCCTGCTTAATGAGGAGGACTGGATGGGGGGTTTCCAATCTCTCTACTAAAATACATGTAGACCTGTCTCCTTTGCTGACAGTGAGCTTGTTTTCATCTTTACATGGATTCCTGGAAAGAACTCCAGTGCCATTTGGGCATCTGTGGGCCACAGCTTCAAAAAAGATGGGGTAGATGGGGTAGAATCTTCTAGGTCTTGTCCACTGGGCATCTGTGGGCCACAGCTTCAAAAAGGCTAGATGGGGTAGAATCTTCTAGGTCTTGTCCACTTTTTATAGCTATAATTCAGGTTTTTTTGTGACTTCTTCAGGTTTGAATAGTTGTCACTGCCTTTTACTTCTGATTTCAGAAAGGCACTAGCCCCGTTTTGAGTCTGTGTAGGGACTGGCTGGGCTACCACCAGTCAGCGTAAGAACTGAGAGAGCGCAGATCTTTCATAGCTCAGTAGGACTGGGTAGGATTTCCCCATTTGAAAGGGGAGCACCACAGGGGATGTTGCTGCTGGAATGATGAAAAAATCCTTTTTCCTGCTTTTTGATGCTCTTTTTGTTGCTCTTCAACTGTGTGTGTAGGCTGGTCTGTCTCCTGCATGGTGAGGATGTGTTCATGTGAGAAGACACACATGGGAAAATAGAAAATAATATATTAATTATCTTGCTGATAATCATTTTCCACTTTTGGTCCTGTGCTTTAAAGTCATATAAGTGAGGAGGAAATGTAGCCCAGGAGCACTTAGCCCCCTCTTCTGCTTTCTGATGGAGGGGGTGGAGTCACCATCCCTGGTGGTATTTAAAAGACGAGTAGAGGAGGGGCTGAGGGACATGGTTTAGAGGTGGAATTGGCAGTGTTGGGTTTATGGTTGGACTCAATGATCTTAAAGGTCTTTTCCAACCACTATGATTCTGTGATTCTGTTTCACAGGCAGGATACTCTCCTGTGAGATGAGGTGGGGTTTGCAGCTGGATGCTCTGATCCAGGGAGGTTTGTCAGACAGCGGTGAACAACGTCAGGCACTGCTCTGCAAAAAAGGATTGCGGGATTTTTTCACGTTCAGACATATGGACCCGAGTCCAGTGATGCTGCAACAGGAAATATCAGAAGTGATGCCAGTAAAATGATGACTTGTGGCAAATGAGCCGTGGGGCTCCTGGTCCTGAGCTGGCTTCCTCTGAGCTCTCCTGCTTATATCTGCACGGTGCTTCCAGTTTTGGGGTTATGATGGGTAGGAGCCAGCGATGAGCATCTGTCCTTGTGGTCAGACAAGCCCTTCCTGTGCCAAACACTTTAAACGAAGCCTGTTTTAGGGGATCTCCTGACCTTGGGTCTTCATCCTGGATTGCTTCTGATTCAGTGATCTTCACAAGTCAGCTTGTTGCTCAGCTGCTGATTTTAAAAACAAAAGATAGCAAGCAAGGGTGAACATAAGAACTGAAGCTGTGTGCTAGGGCACGCTTCGTTTTAGATAGGTGCATGTCTCAGGGTACAGGTAGCATCAGTTTATGTTGATGTGTGTACATGTATACACGTGGTTTTTATATATAAATATAAATATAAATATAAATATAA